TCCTCCTTCTCCACCTCCTTCTCCCCCCCACCCCCTGTCTTCGGACACCCGCTCCCCCTGGGACCGTGCGGATGCCGTTGAAGTTCGGCTTGCGCCTGGGCGCGTCGTACGCGGTCATGTCCTGACGCAGGCGAAGGAGGATCGACTCCCGCCCTCCTGTGGCTCCGCCTTGTCCACTGTCTCCCTCGCCTCTGGGTAGGCTTCAGTCGGGCGTGTCCCCCTACAGGGGGATTTTGGCCTCAAAAATTGTCAAAAAAATCGTCCCCTGACTATTTTTTGACTATCTTGGAATATTCCCCCTGCAGAGGGACACGCCCGACTTCAGGGCAGGCCCCCTTGATCAACGGGCATGCCGCGCTCCTCGCGGGATGCCATAGCTCGAACACCACCGCCAGCAGGCATAGCGAGCGCCCAGTTTGATCACCCCCCCTTAGTGGCGAAGGTCGCTATGGGGGAGGGGGGCGGCAGCGTTAGATCCCGACGCTCATGCTGGCCGCGCCGGCGCCAGGATCGCCGGCGAGCGGGGGGAAGAAGTGGAGAAGGAGAAGGCCTTCTCGGAAGGCGGCGGGATGTCTCAGAAACCCTCGTGCCTTGTGAGAAGTCTTCTCTGCCTTCGGGGAAGGCTTAGAGAACTTCTCAGAAGGCTAGGGGACTTTCGAGCCTCCTGAGAAGGCCCGCCCCTTCTCACTTCCCCCCCTCGCTCGCCGCCGACAGGAGGATCGAAGATCGAGGATCTAAGTTTGTATTGCTCTTCATGGGTCTCTGGAGGTCTCTGGGGACCGCCAGAGAACTCACGAGACCTCAAAACTTCCAAAAACCTCTGGGAGAAAGGAGGAGGAGGACGAGGAGGGGGGAAACGACGACGACGACGACGACGACGACGACAACGACGACGACCCCTGGTGGAATCTTGAGGTCTGCGGAAGACCCCCGGAGGACCTGAAGCATCCAGACACAAACGAACACGAGAGGCAGACCACCACTGCAATGGAGCGATGACCTCAACAAATTCTGCGAACATATTGGCGCGCATTTGTTTGAAATAGGCATTGCAAACACAGGAAATAGGGAAGCAGTAGACCGAGTTCTGCATGAACAGATGGTGATGCTCCCTCTAGATTGATTGCTCACCCACGCCCTGCATTGGGCCGAGTAGCCAATAGGCCTGCCTGTGAAGCTCTCACGCGTCCAAATCTGCAAATACCTCGACCTTCGAAATGCGCTCAAGACTGGTCCCCTCCAGGGGTCCGTCCTTTCCCGTTTTTCCAGCGGCGTCCAGACGTGACGACGACGAAAAAACCCGAAGACCAGAAAACGAGGAACGAGGACAAGGACGACACAGAGGACGAGGATGATAAGGAGGACGACATTAACGGCGACAGTGATGAGGCCGCTGACGACGACAACAAAACCAGCGACCGACGACAAGGACGACAACGACGACGACAACACCTGTCGCCAGAAGCCTCCCAGAGGCCTCCCTAGCCCCCACAGGGGGGCAGAAACGGGCAAATAGCCTCGAGGCATGCCGATGTACGATTCAAACTGATATCTCGCTTGACGGGGAGCCCTGGCGAACACAAAACGGAGGTGTGACGGGGGGGGGGAAGGAGGAGAGGGCTGCCCAAAGAGGACCACGCAGCGAGCAGATGCGGACAGGGAAGAGCGAACTGGAGAGCAGAGTGCCTGCACGGTGGAGGGGCGGGGGGGCAGCGGTCGACCCTCTGCCATGCGGCCCTGGACCCTCGGCCTCCGATTCTGGTCGGGGGGGACAAGGAAAGGTGGTACCGATACCGCCGCTGCCCGGACCTCTCCTGGGGTGCGCTCTGACCAGCACCTCCCTTGTGGCTGCGAGGGCCTCCCAGCAGGCCCCGAGGGAGGCCCGAACGAGAAGGGGCATGGGCATCCACACCCCTTCCTCCCATGATGTCCCTCGCTCCTGGGCCCTCGCTCCCAGGCCGTCCCTCGCTTGAGTATCGTTCATCCGACCCCCATCCCCAGCGGCATGGCCTGGGCCCCACTGGCCGACTACCCCCCAAGATGCCTAGATGGGGATATAGGCCGTCCCCTTCGGGCTTCGAGGGGCGTGTCCCCAACTGGGGTGGTAATCTGGTGGGGGCCTCGAAGGGAATGAGGATGGGGATGGGGGTCGGATAAACGATACTGATCGCTCCTGGGCCCTCGCCCCCGGGCCCTCCGTCCTCGAACTGGTTGTTCCGCGCGGTGTGGCGTGGCGGCGGGGGGGCGTGAGTGGACAGAAATATTCAAACCCCAAAGCACCGCCTTTACTGAGATCAGCATTGATGTCCGGGGCGCGGGGGTGATTTACAGTCTCCCTCGAATGTGTGAGGGTTCGAATATACTGTCCATCTGCTGTCCCTCGCCCCCGGGGCCCTCGCCCCCGGGCCCTCCGTCCTCGAACTGGTTGTTCCGCAGCACGCTGGCGGACACGCTGGCCTCCCGCCGCTGCTGCGCGGCGGGGCCAGAGACGAAGCCGGGCCTCCGCGCCCCGGCCGGGCACCCCCCCCCGAGGAGGGGGGAGTGCTGTGCTCCAGGGCTGAATCTAAACGGTGTTTTTCGTTTTCGTTTTGCTTTCGTTGTCCCTCGTTTTGTCTTCAATCCGCCTTCAACGCAGAACGAGATCGAAACGAAAGCGGCCCACGAAATCGCCAAAACACCGTTTAGATCTACCCCTGCTGTGCTCGTGCTGCCACGAGGAGCACCGGGCTGAGGAGCGACGGGAGGCAGGGAGAAGGGAGGAGGGGGGGACAAGCCGGGTGCGCTCGCGTCATATCTGACGTCTTGCCCCTCCCTCGCATCCCTTACCGTGGCGTCGATCTCCTCTCTGTTCGCACCATCGGATGTCGCAGCATGGCATAGCATGGTGTTGAAGATTAACGCGTAGCATGGGCATTACATAGCATGGCGTGGCGACGCTCCAAAGGGGGGTGGTTCGCGGCCCAAAAAATCAACGAGTCGATACCGAATGTGTAATCACTCCCGATGGTTCTTCGGGAGACAATGTTTTAAATTTGGGGGCCTATTTGGAAGGACCGAAAACCATGCCGTTGCATGGCTTTGGAAATAAGGACGCCAGCGCCACAGCGGGCCCGAAAATGAGGCCAGCGCTTCAGCGAGAGCAGCATTTTGAACAAAAACCCAAGCGCGAAGCGCGGAAATGAGGACGCGCAGCCTGACATAGCATGGCGTGGCGACGCCCCAAAGTGGGGGGGTTCTGCGGCCCAAAAAATCAACGAATCGACACCGAATGTGCAATCACTTCCGATGATTTGTTCGGGGGCCTTTTTGTAGCTTTTGGGGCCAACTTGGAAGGACCGAAAGACATGCTGTGGCATGGCGCTGGAAATGATGACGCCAGCGCTACAGCGGGAGCACGACTCGGAACGAGCGGAAGCCAGGAAATGAGGCCAGCGGTGCAACGAGAGCACGATTCGGAACGAGCGGTAGCCCGAAAATGGGGCCAGTGCTTCGGCGAGAGCAGCATTTAAGCTACACATATATATATATATATATATATATATATATGTATATCAAGAACCAATACGCGGAAGGGGGCCAAACAATCCTTTGACGCCACCAGGTGAGAGAGGAGACTAGTGTTCACATTGTTTCAGCGCGGACGGGCGAGGGAGAAGGCCTCAGAGAGGCCTGGCCCAGGCGGTGGCCGGCGCGGGACCGGGAGGCAAAAACCCCAGGGCCCGGAGGTCCCGAGGCACGACGGGTGTGGAGGGAGTCCCTCGTGCGTCCCCTGGCTGGGGGGAGGCGGGGGAGGGAGGAGGGCGGGGGGCGGATGAGGTGGATGAGAGGGGGGAGGGGGGAGGAGGGGGGCGGGGGGGCGGGAGAGGAGGGAGGAGGGCGGAGGAAGAGGAAGGAGGGAGAAGGGAGGGAAGGGGAAGAGCGACGGAGGGTGTCCAGAGCGTCCCCCTCCTCCTCCTCCCTCCCTCACTCCATTTCTCCTCGCTCCTTCTCGCCCCTACCTCGTCCTCTTTCTTCCCACTCCTCACATCCTTTTCTCTTCTTCTCCGCCCCGACCCCCCTCTCCTCCACCTCCACATTATCCTCTTCCCTCCACCACCTCCACCTCCTCCTCCTCCTCCTCATCTCATCATCATCATGAGCATCATCATCATCATCATCAGCAGCATCATCGTCATCATCGTCATCATCGTCATCCTCATCATCAGCAGCAACATCACCATCATCAGCATCAGCATCATCATCATCCGCAGCATCATCAGCATCGTCATCATCACCAACATCAGCATTATCATCATCATCATCATCGTCATCGTCGTCGTCACCATCATCACCATCATCATCATCAGCAGCAGCATCATTATCATCATCATCATCAGCAGCATCATCATCATCAACACCAACAACATCATCAGCATCGTCATCATGATATTATTATTCTCCTTACTCATCAACATCATCATCATCATCATCATTGCCATCATCATCACCATCATCATCATCAAAATCGTCATCATCATCATCGTCATCACCATCATCGCCAGCGTCATCATCATCAACATCATCATTGCCATCATCCGAAGCATCATCTGCATCATCATCATCAGCATCATCCGTCTTTCCTCTGAGAATCGGGGTAAGATGACAAAGGAATTAAGGTCTCGTGTTGACTCTGCTCAGTAGTAGAGGATAAGGGATGAGACATCAGTGAAACTGCAAGTAACCGTTAAGCAGCTGTACTCAGGAATGGGAAGGGAGGGAGCCGGCGGGCCGACGACCGACGACACGCGGCGGCCGAAGGCTGGCGCGCTCCTTTTCTACCCTGCAAGCACAAACAGCTGCGGCACAGAGCCGCAGGGTCAAGGTGTGGCAAGGAAGGCAGCGAGAGAGGCAAGTGTAAGATGAGGCGGAGAGGAGCATATTCACTCCCCCCGCGGCGGCCTTCGCAGGGCCCGTCCAGCCACAGCTCGCCTGGCCAGTACATATATACAACCACCGGAGCGAACCGCAAAACTTTTACCGCTCGAAGGTCGCTGCCAGGAAGCTGAGGGCCGAAGAAACCCGACGATTCCCACCAATAGTTAAATAAATTCTCTCTGCCGATACGACTTTGTCGATCGGTTGGGCCCGCAGCGACTTGGTCGCGCGGGCTCGGCTTCTCTCAGATCTTGCTCTAAAGATATCCTCGCGATGGCGGAGACGGAGGTCTCGGATGTGAAGATGACGAGCCTCCCGTCTGATCCGCGGACCAATAGGGCGAGCGGGATCTGCATGGCTTGCCACGACCAGCGCAAGGCGCTGGCCTGTTGTGCTTGTCCTTGTTCTTGTTCTTGGAACCCTTTTCTTCTCTCTGAAAGCGGCAGTTGTTGTCATTCACGTACACCACAGGTCACACACGTGACTGGTTGTCCCTCGGGCTCATCCAGGATATCAAGTCCCGGTGAACCCAGTATCCATCCAGCACATCATTGTCGCAGTGTGGGCAGTGCTTCGAGGGGTCGTAGCCGGCAGCCCCGCGGCCGACATCCATGGCTCCGCCGCGCGCGCGCGTAGGCCTCGACCAATCCCGCGTGTCCCTGTCAGACGAATACCATGAAGACTCATCTCCTGCCGCAGCGGTTTGACCGCCGGCAGAGCACGGGGAGTCCGTGACTTCATCGTTAGCCCGATCGTCTTGGACGTCGGGTCTGCGTGGAGGAGGCGGCGGCCTGGGCCTCGCCTTCGCCAAAGCGGGCCCCTCCGCATCGGCTTGGCCGTCGGGGGGCCCATCAGCGCCTCCACTTTCACGAATAGTCAGCACTCGCTTTCTGGCGAATCTAATAATATCCCTTGCGGCAGTAGCAACAAGAATACCAAACTTGCCGCAGGCGCCACGAAAGTGGCCTTCATCTTTGTCTTGAAGCTCAGTGGCTTCCACACGTGGGTACAGCCAATAAATAGCTTCTTGTAACTTCATGCCCTGTCGACGGATATCGGCACGAGCCTGTTTGCCCAAGTTACGGGCCCATTCCTCAGTGAGGCCATCTGTCTCAATCGCCACACGAATTCGGCAGTCAAGGGCGCATGCATCCTTTCGACGCTTGTCATCATCGCACTCGACGCTGCTGCCTTGGGCAAGAAAGTTAACCCCAGGATTTGCAATGCAATGTCCCTCGGCAATGAAGCAACTAATGATCCCGCGAGCAATCACAATCACACGTTTAATGCGAAGACCCAACTCCAGTGCTGGAATAGGGACCTTCCATATCCAATCAATGGTGCTCCGCACATTTTCTGGGATTTCGTGCGTTACTGCACCCGATAGTCGTAACCTTTCAGGGTCATTTGCCTCCGGGCGATAGCTGGGTATTCCATGCCATATTGAGTGGCCACTTCTTTGGCTCCATCCTCGGTCAACGTGATGTTCAACGATTTGTCGTCGCGATGGGAATACACGTACCCATTGGGCTGATCAAGATTGATTTTCCCGCCAATTGTCTGCTCGGTCTGGGACCCGCAGACTGCAGTGAAATCAAGGGTCATGTGTAGGTTCTCCTCACCTGCCGTCACGGTTGGACCGGCGACAGGTTTGGCATGCGTGCACACTGAAACGAGAGGATGTTCGGAACACATTCTATTACGCCTGCTGACGGACTGGGAAGCACGACGAGGACGTGCCGCAAAAATATTTGCCTAAGCAACCGGTGGACGTCCACGTAGGCTGGGCCCCGTGACGCCCATGGCGTTGCTCTGATCAACGGGCAGCCAGGGTGCTGTTCCACCTATTGCATTGCGCAATGTCCGAAGCGTTGGCACGCAGATGTTCGCATTAGCCATGTTGCGCTCCCATTCGAACCCACCTTCTATTGGTTCAAAGCGTCTGTCAGGATCCTCTGGCCACTCAAAGGCAGCCAGAGCAGGGCAAGACATGGGACGCGCATACAGGTCACTTTCTGTTACCCAAAATAAGGGCCACCACTCTGCGATCGTTGGAGCTTGAGTCGCTTCTCTCTGAGCCAAGTGTGCGAGCCATTTGATCAATCGCCTCTTCAGGGGCTCGAGGCACTGTAAGAAAGGACCGTGACGCGCCAGCGGCTGGGCCGCGGCGTGGTCAGGAATCCAGCCAGGCACACTACCCGCGCGGCTGTTTCCAAAGGTTTGACCCGAAGCAGCCAAGCGAATATACTGATTATTCGTTGTCCATTTGCGCTCCTGTTGCAGATTGTTGCTGATGTTGTATATTACATATGCCGAAGCTCTCCGCTGTCTGTTTACTCGCGCTCCAACACAAAGATCACGCTCGTAAGGGAGCTGATCAAGGTCGACAACATGCAACAAAATGCCATGTTTCTCAAGCGAAGTTGAAATGACCTATGTCGGTACGACTGAAGCAAACAGTCGTGGGCAACCTTGTATTTATACTTGATCGGATTGTTGCAGTGGGGGCAATGTCCAAAGCCAGTTCGCACCCAGTGCAAGTTAGCGCAAAGGAACCGACCATCGTCCTCCGAGGGGACAGACTGA